CCCGCCCGGCTCCGCAAGGTGGTCTCTGCGTTGGTGCCTGGCCGCCGGGCACTGCCGGTGCCGGTGTACATGTTAGTGCCCGCCCCGGCTCCCGACGACGACGACTCTGGCACCGACTCCGCAGAGGGCACACCCGTCAACTTCTCCAGTGCGGCATCGCTCAGTGACGAGACCTTACAGGGACCCTCCAGGGACAAGCCGGGAGGGCCCGGAGAGAGGCAGAAACCCACAGGCCGAGCTGCCCCTGCCAGGCAGACCCGTGGGCACCGACCCAAGGCGGCGGGCGCTGGTAAGAGTACAGAGCAGACCCGGGGGGCCGGTAGGAACCGGGCAGGACTGGAATTACCCCTTAGCCGGCCCCAGAGTGCTCGATCCAACAGGGATGGCGCGAGCCAGACCCGGCCGCGAGGGGACGGCGCTCTGCAGTCTCTGTGCCTCACAACTCCCACCGAGGAGGCCGTGTATTGCTTCTACGACTCTGAGGAGGAGCCGCCAGCCACGGCACCACCACCCCGGCTGCCCTCTGCCATCCCGCGGGCTCTTAAGCGAGAGAAACCCACAGGAAGGAAGGAGATCCCATCCAGGGCGTCGCAGACGGCCACGCCCCCCGTGAGGGCCCAGCCCAGACTGATCGTGGATGAGACCCCTCCCTGCTATTCTTCGGCTAGCTCCCTGAGCGAGCCCGAGGCCCCTGAACAGCCGGCCAGCCACCCCCGAGGCCGGGAGCAGGCAAGCACCAAGGGCCCGGGCCCAGGCAGGAAGCAGGACAGCTCCCCAAGCCCGAGGGCAGAGGAGGAACTACTGCAGAGGTGTATCAGCTTAGCTCTGCCCCGGCGCCGGACCCAGGTTCCTGGATCTCGGCGTCGCAAGACCAGAGCTGCCCGGGCCGACACGCGGCCCACGGAAGTACCCCGGAAATGCCGCGAGGAGGTGCCTGGCTCTGATCCAGCCTCCGACTTAGACAGCGTTGAGTGGCAGGCCATCCAGGAGGGCGCGAACTCCATCGTCACGTGGCTGCACCAGGCGGCAGCCAAGGCCAGCCTGGAGGCGTCTTCTGAGTCCGAGTCCCTCTTGTCTCTGGTGTCCGGGCTCTCAGCAGGCTCCACCACACAGCCCTCCAAACCCAGGAAAGCCCGGAAGCCTGGGGCTGAGGCTGGGGGTGTCTGGCGCCCAGAGAAACGGGGTGCAGCTTCCACCAAGATCAGTGGGAGTCCACGGTTCCCTAGTGGCCCCGAGAAGGCAAAGGGTGCCCAGAAAACGGTGGCAGGCGAGCCAGCCATGCTCCGGGGACGGACGGTGATCTACACAGCCAGCCCAGCCTCCCGGGCTCAGTCCAGAGGAGTTTCTGGCACTTGTACCACACCTAAGAAGCCGGGGACGTCTGGTACTACTCAGCCAGAAACCGCCACCAAAACCCCCAGCCCTGGGCAACAGCGTTCACGGAGCCTCCACCGGCCAGGGAAGATCTCGGAGCTAGCCGCCTTCAGTCATCCGCCCAGGAGCGCCACCCCGCCAGCCCGCCTCGCCAAGACTCCATCCTCAAGCTCCTCACAGACTTCGCCAGCGTCCCAGCCCCTGCCCAGGAGGTCCCCTCTGGCCACGCCGACTGCAGGGCCTCTGCCTGGCCCTGGGGGGTCCCCAGTGCCCAAGTCACCGGCCAGGGCCCTTCTGGCTAAGCAACACAAGACGCAGAAGTCACCTGTGCGGATCCCGTTCATGCAAAGGCCAGCCAAGAGAGGGCCACCCGCCCTGGCCAGGCCGTCCCCAGAGTCCGGACCCAGGGGCAGAGCTGGGACTGAGGCGGCCGCGGGGGTGCGTGGTGGCCGCCTGGGCCTGGTGCGTATGGCATCCGCCCGCTCCAGCGGCAGTGAGTCCTCGGACCGCTCAGGCTTCCGCAGGCAGCTGACCTTCATCAAGGAATCCCCGGGGCTCCTTCGGCGCCGCAGGTCCGAGCTGTCCTCCGCCGACTCCACGGCCTCCACCTCCCAGGCCGCCTCGCCCCACCGCGGCCGGCCAGCACTCCCGGCTGTCTTCCTCTGCTCCTCTCGCTGCGATGAGCTGCGAGCGTCCCCGCGGCAGCCCCTGACGCCACAGAGGTCCCCACAGAGGTCCCCACAGGCCAAGCCAGGTCCTGCCCCACGCGCGCCCAGGCGCACGAGCTCCGAGAGCCCCTCCCGCCTGCCTGTGCGGGCGCCCCCCGGGCGGCCCGAGACAGTCAAGCGGTATGCGTCCCTGCCGCACATCAGCGTTGCACGCAGGCCAGAGAGCGGCGTCTCGGTGCCCGCCACCCATGCCAACACCGCTCGCCGGGGGAGTGACGGGGAGGCCAGGCCGCTGCCCAGGGTGGCTGCGCCGGGTACCACCTGGCGTCGGATCAAAGACGAAGACGTCCCCCACATCCTGCGTAGCACCCTGCCGGCCACTGCCCTGCCTCTCAGGGGTCCATCACCCGAGGACAGCCCCGCGGGGACTCCACAACGCAAGACCAGTGACGCAGTGGTACAGACAGAGGACGTGGCCACCTCTAAGACCAACTCCAGCACGTCACCCAGCCTGGAGAGCAGGGATCCCCCACAGGCCCCGGCCAGCGGCCCCGCTGGTCCTCTGGGCAGCGATGTGGATGGGCCAGGCCTCACCAAGCCGCCTGCCTCTGCGCCCTTCCCCCACGAGGGCCTGAGTGTCGTCGTGGGGGGCTTTCCCACCAGCAGGCATGGCTCCCCCAGCAGGGCCGCGCGGGTTCCTCCCTTCAACTACGTACCCAGCCCCATGGCGGTGGCCACAGCTGCCAGCGACTCTGCAGTGGAGAAGGCCCCTGTCACCTCCCCAGCCAGCCTCCTGGAGTAGTGGGTGCAGGCCAGCCTTCTGGAACGTTCTCTCTGCCCTGTGGCCCAGTCTGGCTGCCCTGGGGGCTTGCTCTCCAGACGCCCCGAGCAGGCACATCACATCTGTGCCCTCGGAGCTCCTGCTCAGCTCACACCTCCACACCTCAGGGCCAGCCCTCGCTTCTCCGCCTGGGGCTCAGGGGACCGGCTGTGGACGGGCCCCAGGGCGCACACAGCGCCAGTTCCCGAGTTTGGCCTGGGAAGGGGACGGAGAGCCAAGCTCTGAGGGACACTGTAGGTCCGGGGAGGACCTGCCCTGGGCTGCCCCCAGTGGGAGGGTGGGCACACTCTCCAGGGAGGTGACTGAGCTTGCCTCCGAGGTGGGGACAGGCTGTGGGGAGGGCGGGGAGGCCGAGGCAGCTGGGGCTGCCTCAGCCCTGCACCAGAAGCCTGCAATTAGTGCCGGGCTAATTGGTTAATGAGGATTCTGCCAGGCGTCGCCTTCTCAGAGGCAGCTGAGGAGCGCTGTGTGAACGCTGCTCACAGCATTCATCATGGCCGCTGAGAGATCGGCAGGGGTGAACGGTCCCCTCAGCGCAGATTCTGGGGAGCCGCTGACCCCATGTCCCTTCACTGTCCCATAGGAGGGGCTGTAGTTCAGGGGACAGGCTGGCTGCCAGCTGGACAGGCTCTAGGGGCCGAGGAAGGGCGAGCAGGCCTAGGCATCCCCGGGGAGGCGGCCCGGGACCAGCACCGCGGGAGGAGGAGGCAGGTCCGTCTGTGGGAGTCTGGTCCTTCCCAGTATACTGCGTCCATGCAGCGGGAGGTGTCAGGATGTGAGATCCTCCGGCTCACCCACGGCCTGGAGTCAGTGTGGGGGGCCTGGGGCTGCCATGGAGGGCAGGTCAAGACCCAAGGTAGGGGGCAGGCCTTCGAGGACCGGGGTCTTGGGTCTCAGCTCAGTGTGTCTTCCTGCAGAGAGAGCCAACGACCTCTCTCTTGTGGGACCCCGGCTGCTCTCTGCAAGGGGACTGTAACCACGTCCACCTGCAGCAGTCGTTCCCAGGGGACACTGTCCCTTGAGCTGGCCTCAAGGCCCTGCTCTGAGAGGAGGGAGGTGGCTTTGAGAACAAGGTGGGAGACCCCGGAAAGGCCTGCAGACGCTGCTGCCCCTCCCCACCAGTCCTTTTTATGGCAGGGGAGCCCGCAGATCCACGATCGCCCTCATGCGTGGGCATGCTCACAACCAGGGGTCACCTCCAGGGCTGGCCCTACAGTGATGCCCGACTTCACCCAGCTCCCGACATCCACCCAGTGCTTTGACATCCCACAGCGGGAACACCGGGTACCACCCGCTCCATCCCAGGACCTCGCCTGCTGCACAGGAATCTGGCAGAGTGCCAAGGGCACGCAGGCCTGAGGGAGATAAGAAAGCAAGGTGGCTCTGGGACCCCGGCTCACATCCACCACGGACCCCTGGATGCCCCCTCCACGCGGTGGGGACGTGGCGGTGGACAGATGTCCAGCTGGGGCTGGAGAGGTGAACCTCATCTTCTGCAGACTGAACCTGTAAACCACGCACTGTGAGACCCCAGGTGGCACGTTGTGCTGCTCTGTGCCTCAGTTTCCCCACGTGGGCCGTGGGAGGACTGAGTGCAGCAGCAGCAGCAGCAGGTCTGGACCGTGGCACCAGCACAGAAGGGCCATCACTCTTAGCCGCCTCCCCCTGCCCTCAGCCTTGGGCCCAGCAGCCACGTTTGCCTTCTCCACCCCACAGTGGGGTTCACAAGCCGCAGAGTAACATCCAGGCCAGGGTGGGTAAGAGCTGGCATGGGACAGCGGCTTCCGGGGTAACCAGAGCCAGGGCTCAGCCTGCCTCTGGAGTGTCCTCAGAGACGGAAGAGGAGGGTCCGCTGTCCGCCAGGCTGGCAATGGCTACGGGCGCCCCGGGCTGGAGACCAGTGGTCCCCTGCAGACTAACCACTGGGTGCCTGAACAGGGCGGCACGCCCACCCGTTACCTCACCTCCCGACCCATCTGTGGCACCGTCTTGCTCATACCTGGTTGGTCTGTCCCCTGCCGCCGCCCTATCTCTGTCCCGTCCGTCCTACAGGGTGAACTTTTCTGTACATACTGACCCCCCAGCCCCATGTAGACACACCCAGCGGGACACCCGGCTTCTGGTTCTTGTTCACATCTTTAATAAAATCAGTCGCTGAGTCGCTCTGGGGCTGCCCAAGGCTCTCATCTTCAACATGGGCTCTGGAGTGGGGAGGTTGTTCCAGAACCTTCTACTGGAGATACAGTCCAACCCCACAAGGCGCTGGTGCACAGACCTGAGCCCCCTGCCGACTGGTCACTGCACCGGGTCCACACATGCTAAAGCCAAGGCTGATTCAGGGTCAGCCGAGCCACACCTGGCCATTTGCTCTAGGACACCAGCCACCGGCCACCCAGAATAAATATCTCTCTGTGACTCCTAGGAATGGGGAACGGCAGGAATAAGGTGGCCACAAGCCAAGGCCATTTCTGACATAGTCCCAGCCAGCTTGGGATGTGAGAAGTCACGTGGGGTGGCCGACCCCTAAGGCGCGAAGGGGCTGGCATGGACTTGGGCCCAGTGATCCAGTGTCCAACTGCGGGGAGGTTTGAGCTCTAGAATCAAACTCCAATGTTCCAGAAACAAAGCCTGCCCACCCTAGAGCGGTGGAGCTTCAGCAAGAAGGTCAACCGAACCCCAGGTCCACATGGGCGTCTTATGGGTGCCCAGCTGAGCTTGCATGCTGCAGGGACCTGCAGAGATCCCTGTACTGTCCCCGCTTTGGGCCCTTCCAGTACCCGTGGACTTCCCAGAGCGAAAACCCCCTTGCTGTGTTCCTCCAGCCCTGGGGAGATGGGACCAGGAGCAGGTAAGGCCGCCGCAGCCAGGCTCCAGGAAGGGGGCTGTCCGTCTATCTTCTCAACGGAGGTGACGCTGACATACAGGTCCTAACCTGCTGGGGATGGAGACCCTGGCTGCCCAGGGCGGCATGGGGCAGGAGGTGGGACCAGGGCACAGCGGCTGAGGGCTGGTCCCTGTGGGGCAGGCTGGCTCTGAGCCCGACCTCCAGCCAAGTCCTAGATGCAATCCGGGCCGGTGCCCCCATGAACGAGGAGGTGGCCACGTCCCTGATCCACCCCGAATTAGAGGCCACCAAGGATGGAAGAGGGAACCAAGACCCAAAGCCTGCCGAGTGAGGCACTGGGAGCCCCCCCCCCCAGTCCAGTGCTGGGGCAGCCGATGTTGACCCAGAGCCTCCGGTGGTCAGCCAGATGCCTGGCCTTGGACAGAGCGCCGCAGCGGTAGCCTCGGCTCTAGGAGGTGGCTGAGGTCACCTGGCTAACATCCTCTTCAAGCCTCTGCCCAGCCTGCCGAAGGTCCTCGAACTTCTGCCTCAGCCTGTCCCCCGCCTGCCGCAGCCTCTCGTTCATGGCCACGTAGGCTCGGCTCTGTTGGTAGATCTGCTCGTACCTGGCCTCAGGGTCCTCGGTCCGTGGGGAGGGATCCGGGGGGTCTGGAGAGGAGAAACAGCGTCACCACCCACAGGCCAGCAAGCCTTCCCTTCACACCCAGAGGTCACACAGTGCGCTGGAGGCTGCACGAGACCTAAGTCCTAGAAGACGGTCACAGTCACAGGCCTGAAAACCCCCAGCATCCGGGGGTCGCTGGGAGGGCCCCTCCCGCCACCCGGCCTTGCTGTCCCACCCAGAAACGCCCGGTTTCCTGGATTCTGGGGCAGGACTCGCAGAAAACGGCCCCAGATCTCCAGGCAGGAGCCCCTGGCACGGGCTTCTTCCTCTTTCCCTTTGAGACCAGATCTTGAGCTCACGGCTCCCCTCCCTCCTTCCCGGACCCCTGGGTTGGTTTGAGTCCCACAAGCTCACCGGCCCCCCGCTTTGCTTTGCGTGACCCCACTTGACGGAGTCGGGAGGGCCGGCGACAGATCCGTCCCCGGGGGCCGGCGCCAGGGCTGCCCGACTCCCGCAGGCTGGACCCGGGGCTCCGCACCCTCCTACCTTCCGGCGCCAGGGCGGTGAAAACGGGGTCGTGGGCGGGCGCCCTGCGCACGTCCTCCAGGATCTGCTCCACCGTGGGAGGCGCGGGGCGCGTGGGCAGCACCACGCGTCTCTTGCCCTTGGCGCTCATCCCCGGTCCCCGACTCGCCTTCCCTCCTGCCGGGGCCTCACAGTCGGCCTCAAACTCGGCCTGTTTGCCCCCCAAAACCCTACAGCCTATCTCGGGTCCAAGAATCTGTGCGGCCGCCACCACTTCCGCTTCCTGTTTGAGGGCCGCCCTGGTCTTGCACTTCCGGTCCGCTCCAGCTCCGCTCCTCGCGAAACTCCTCCCCCGTCTTAAAGAGCCCTCGTCCTAGACGTTCCCGGGTGCCTTTCAAGGGTCTCCGCCTCCCTGACCAAGAGTGGTGAGCGTGAGTTCGAGTTCCCCTGGCTGGGCAGCAACTGGGAGCCAGGTCCGCAGTGGGCGCTCAGAATGCTGTAATAATAACAATGCTGGACGGTGCCTGTCCACAGGGAAACACGGTCGGGAGCCTGGTTTCCTTGTCCTGGTGGGGGGCAGCACTCAGAGGCAGAGGCAGGCGGATCTCTGTGCGTCCCACGCCAGCCTGGGCTGCAGAATGAGACCCAGGGCAGCCTGGGCTACACAGAGAATCTCAAAAAACCACCAACAACTGTCAGGGACAAGGACAGAATCTCTAGTTAGTGGAAAAATACAGACCCCCATAAGACAGGGAACTAGATCATCTTACAGTCAGGTTGCCTAGCAACAGGACATGGAGTCAGAGCCCTTGACCCTCTCACCCTGTAAACATCCTATACACACATCCTGTTAGCTTGCCCCACCTTATGCAGATGACAGCTTCTTGCTCCCCCCACCCTGCGGAACTATATAAACCTTTCTGGAAGAGAAATAAAGCTGCACCTTGATCAGAATCTAGACTTGGTGTGTTTCCTTTGTGTCTCCTGTCCCTACATTCCCTCCTTAGGGTGGTGAGAACCCGTTGTAGCCCTGCAGGCTACAATGCAAGTGGAAACGAGCTCCCTGTCCATGGTGTGCGGTAGTTCGGCGCGGATGGACGGGACAGGGTGGATGGTACTTTGGCCCAGGCCTTGCTGGGCACACCCCGCCCTGAAGGACACCACAGACTGGACATCCATTTAACTTTTATTTACCAACTATGAGGTCAGACCCAGGGCAGGGCAGGGACAGATGGTGGGTGGCTGTGGTCTGACCTCTGCCCACTGCACCCCAGTCCTGCTCCAAAACCAGTAAGAAGACACCTCTTCCACCAGGAGCAGCCGTGGCCCACGCAGTGGCCGCCCGATGATCTGCCAGGGCCTTCTGGGGGCAGGGTCCTGTTCCAGCCTGGGAGCGGGGCCTTGGGGTACCGCCCTTCCGTCCTTTGAGTCAGGCATCTCTGCCTCCCCAGCCTTCAGGGTCTCGGTCGGGCATTGGGGCGTCTAGCCTGGGGTGGGTGGGCCTTCCTCAAGCCCAGAGGGGTCTCCTGAAGGCTCTGCCAGCTGGGCCAGCGCCATGGCCCGGGACTGGTAGCCGGGGTGGCCGCCGGAGATGGCAGGCCTTGGAGGAGCCCTGGGGCTCATCCAGCACTAGGGACGGACAGGGGACAGGCAGTGCAGTCGCTGGTCAGGCCGCCCCAGCAGGTGTAACAGGAGGGTGACAGCTGGCCTGTCCCTCGGTCACTGGCTGCTCTGTGTGGCTGTGGAGCCACCGCTGCCGGCCGGAGAGGAGGCAGAGCCAGGCCAGGCCGGCGGGGGGAACATGGCTTTCTGTACAGAGACAGAATGGGAATGGGGTGAGGCTGCCGTGGAGGGGACAGCCAGTGCCCGCCCACCCATCCCGGGCCGCTGCGCCTCCTCCCCCGACAAGTGACCATGCGCTGCGGCCACTCACCCTGGCACAGCCCCTCTGTGTCCCTCTGCACGCACGCGCGCGCGGCTGGTCACCTGGGGGCCCTGGGGCCGCGCTGTCATGTCCTCGCCCGTCCCGTACAGCAGCAGCGTGTAGTAGAACAGAGTTCCTGGGCAGGGGTCGTGGTGGGCACCAGGGGGCAGGCTGTCGGTGGCCTGCCAGGCTCTGTAGCCAACCTCAGTGGCTCCCACCCAGGGCCCCATATCAACTGAGCCTGGCGGCTACACACCTACTGTGTGCTGGTGGCCGGAGGCCCCCACTTCCCAAGGGTCAGTGCACCTACTGTGTGCTGGTGGCCAGACCTCATCTTATCCCTCAGGTAGTTAATTCCTTATTGTTCACCACTGGTCAGACCACCCCCATGATTCTCCCAGGTTGTTGCACACCTACTGTGTACCGATGGCCAGACTCCCCTCCCTTCCTCAGGTGATTGCACCTACTGTGTGCCACTGTGCTCAGACTGCCCCCCACCCACTTCCTTCAGGTAACGGCACTACACCTACTGTGTTCCAGTAGTCAGGTCCTCCTCCCCCATGTTTCCCCGTAACTGTACACCTACTGTGCACCAGTGTCTGGGACCCACCTTCCTCGGGTAAAAACACCTACTGTGTGCTAAAGTAACTGTTGCAGGGTCTCTCCAAGAAAACCCCTGGGACCCTCTGTGGTTGTGAGTCAACTACAACAGGGAGGGTCCCCAGCCCTGCAGCACGCAGCACACAGCCCTGCCTCCCTCATACCACAGCCCTGCAGCCCTGCATCCCGCATCCCACAGCCCTGCAGCCCTGCATCCCGCAGCCCAGCATCCCTGCAGCCCAGCATCCCTGCAGCCTGCAGCCTTGCAGCCCGCAGCCTTGCATCCCGCATCCCAGCAGCCCTGCAGCCCCAGCCCGCAGCCTTGCATCCCGCATCCCAGCAGCCCTGCAGCCCGCATCCCGCATCCCAGCAGCGGCAGCCAGCTCTCACCTGTGTTAAAGTAGTAGCCCTTGTTCTCCAGGCCCAGGGTCCACAGGCCCTGCGGGTCCTCATCCCAGTAGTGGGTGGACATGAAGATCCAGTTGTTGTAGCCTTGGCCGCTGATATCCAAGGGTCTGTGGCCGGCGGGCGACACGGGAGACACAGGGCGGTGGCGTTTAACACGCGTCCTCTCGGGCCCACCCGCTGGGGTGCCTGCAGCGGCCGGGCAGGGCTGCCCTCGCCCACAGGGCCACCCGGAGGACCTCACACCTGATGGCCACAAGCGTGGAGCGCGTGCCCATGGGGCTGGTGAGGGAGATCTCCAGGTCCCCGCGGCGGCTGTAGGAGAGGGACAGCTGCACCTGCACGTGCTCCAGCGAGCGGATGAGGCGGTGCGAGCCGTAGGAGCACGCAGACACGTTCTTCGACACCAGCATCCGGGGCAGGATGGAGCTGGTAAGGTGAGGACGGTCCTGTGGGCCTGCCGTGGGCCGGGTGGCGCCGGGAGGCGGGTCTGGGGGTCCGAGGGCCTGAGGGCACTCTCCTTCCTCAGATGGGTAAACTGAGGCTTCGGGGCATCTTCCCTGCCTTGGACTAGGGTGGGGAGGTAGGGGAGGCTGCAACAACGTGCAGGGTGGAGACCTGGACCTGCCTCCTGGGGTGTGGGCGGGGCCTCCCTCCAGCGGGCGTGGCTGGACCCTCCCCGGCGGGGCGGGGCGGGGCCTCCCTCACGTGGGGGTGTGCACCACCCGAATGACACATTTCTTCTGCGGCTGCGTGGGCAGCCACACGCGAGCCAGGTCCACCAGGAGCCCCGCGTCCAGCAGCCCGTAGCCGTAGTGGTGGCTCACTGCACGGGAGGGGAACCGTCACTCGCCCTGCGCGCACGGCTCCCCGGTCCCCTGCCTGGCCCCGCCGCACCTTGGCGCCCCACGCCGTTGATCCTCCAGTCCTCCGCCTGCAGCTGCGCCGGCCTGGACGCGCGGACCACCAGGTGCTGCAGGTCCCTCCAGGTCAGGAGCGGGCTGGGGGGGCGAGGGCGGGTGAGCCGGGCGCCGCCCGTGGGGGCGGGGAGGTGGGCGGGGCCCCAGGTCACCTACTTGGCCTCCAGAGCCAGCGCGATCATGCCAGCGGCCAGGGGCGCGGAGGCCGAGGTGCCCGTGTGCTTGTCTGTGCACTGGTGGTGCAGGTCCGTGGTGACCTGGGGACAGACGGACCTTGAGCCCAGGGCGCGGCCCAGGCGAGGACTCGTTTGGAAGGTACTAGGGACTAAGTCCACAAAGTGCTGAGGATTGAGCTAGGTATGAAGGCACCGAGGACTAAGCTCGAAAGGTACTAAAAGCCCCAGGCCTGGTGATGCAGGCGTTCAACCCCAGCACTCGTGGGGCGGAGGCAGGCGTCGCTGTGACTTCCAGGCTGCCCTGGTCTACGTGGTGAATACTAAGGACTAAGTTTAGCAAGTACTGAGGACTGAGCTCAACCATTACGAAGTGCTGAGGTCTAAAACTGCTAAGGACTGGGCTCCAAAACCACTGAGGACTGCGTTCAAAATGACACGGCCCTACATCTAAAAAGTACCAAGACCAGGCCGGGCGGCGGTGCGCGCCTTTAATCCCAGGCCTGGGGAGGCAGAGGCAGGCGGATCTCTGTGAGTTCGAGGCCAGCCTGGGCTACAGAGTGAGATCCAGGACAGCCAGGGCTGCACAGAGAAACCCTGTCTAGAAAAACCAAAAAAAAAAAAAAAAAAGTGCCAAGGAAGACGGAGACTCGGGCCCTGGTACTATCGGGGACAGACGAGCTGGGTCGCCAGGCCTCAGCCTCGAGAGAGAAGTGGTAGGGGCCGTGTCTCGTGTGTGTGGGGAGACCTGGGAGCCGGCAGGCGTGGTGTGTGTGTGTGTGTGTGTGTGATGTGTGGTGTGTGTGTGTGTGTACGTGTGTGGTGTGTGTGTGTGTGTGTGTTCGTGTGGGT